AACATCCTTCAAATGATATTGTAAGATATACAAAGCTGAATTACCATGAGTCTTTCCTTCCCAGTGTATCTAATTCTCAAATTACCAAATTTCATGACTTCAACAGAAGAAACAGAATCAGGTGTTTCAATATTTCTTACAGTCTCTTACCATAATCTTTCTTTTTTAAGATTTATTTATTTATTTGAGAGGTAGAGTTTATTTGAGAGGTAGAGTTACAGACAGTAAGAGGGGGAGACAGAGAGAAAGGTCTGTTGGTTCACTCCCCAAATGGCCACAACGGCCAGAGCTGGGCCAATCCGAAGCCAGGAGCCAGGAGCCAGGAGCTTCTTCCAGGTCTCCCACATGGGTGCAGGGGCCCAAAGACTTGAGCCATCTTCTACTGCTTTCCCAAGTCAGAGCAGAGAGCTGGATTGGAAAAGGAGCAGCCCGGTGCTCATATGGGATGCCGGCGCCACAGGCAGAGGACTAACCTACTGTGCCACAGCACCATCCCCACCATAATCTTTTTTAAAAAAAATTTTTTTATTTATTTGAGAGGCAGAGTTACAGAGGGAGGGAGGGAGGGAGGGAGGGAGAGGCAGAGAGAGGTCTTCCAGCCACTGGTTCACTCCCCAAAGGCCCACACAGCCAGGGAACCAGAATCAGGAGCCCAGAACTCAATCCAATTCTCCCATGTGAATGGCAGAGACCCAAGTACTTGAGATATCACTGCTGCCTCAGCAGGGTCCTCATTAGCAGGAAGCTACAATCAGGAGCAGAAGCCAGGACTCCAAACTAGGCCCTCCAATGGGACGTGGACATCCTAACTGCTAGGCCAAACTACCTTACCGTTTTAGTAGCAATACCCACATTTAAACACCATGCATTCATTTACTTATTTTATAAATTTGTATCACTGTTTTTACTATTACTACATGCTAGAAATATAATTAGGTAACAGAATAAAGAAAAACAATGTTTTAAAGGAGAGGGTCTTAAGTTTTAACTTATTTGACAAGGTGCCAGAGAGAGAAAGAGACACACACACACAGAGTGAGACCTTCCATCTACTGGTTCACTCTCCAAATGTCTGCAACAGCCAGGTCTGAGCCAGCCTGAAGCCAGGAGCCTGGAACTCAACCAGGTCTCCCACATGTGTGGCAGGAATCCAAGTATTTGGGCCATTATCTGCTGCCTCCCAGAGTGTACATTAGCAGGCATGCTAGATGAGAAGCAGGGAAGCCTGGTGCTGACCCCGGGAGACAGCAGCGATGACTCAAGTAGTTTGGTTTCACCACCCTCATGGGAAACCTGGATTGAGTTCCTGGGTCCTGGTTTCTGTGCTAGCCATTGTGGGCATTTGAGGAGTGAACCAGTAGATGATAGGTTGCTTTCTCTCTCTCTGCTTCTTGAATTTAAAATGTTTTTTTAAATTTTTAAAAATTAGGCAAATCTCACTAAGGTCCAAGTTTTTAATTCTGTGAATATTTCAATGACATAATATTTATTTCAAAATTACTGTAAGTGGCATATGTACTGCTTAAGTTTTTATAGATTCCCTATATACAGGACAATATATAAAGGGTTAAAACAGCAGCATATAGCAGAGAGTAAAATTTTTTTTAAGATGTCGTATCTCTAAACACACGAGGCAGCAGAAGACAGCTGAAGTACTTGGGCCACTCCCACTCATGGGGGAGATCTAAATGGAGTTCCTGGTGCCTGGATCAGCCCAGCCATTGCATCCATCTGAGGAGTGAACCAGCAGCAGGAAGCTTGCTCGCTCTCACCCTCTCTGCTCTGCCATTCAAATAAATAAATCTAGGGGCTGATGCTATGATGTAGTGGGCTAAGACTCCACCTGCGGCGACATCCCTTATAGGCACCAATTCGAGTCCCAGTTGCCTGTCTTCCAATCTGGCTCTCTGTTATGGCCTGGGAAAGCAGTGGAAGACGGCACAAAAGCTTGGGCCCCTGCATCCACGTGGGAGACCCGCAAGAAGCTCCTGGTTCCTGGCTCCTGGCTTCAGATTGGCCCAGCTCCAGCCATTGCAGCCATTTGGGAAATGAGCCAGTGGATCAAAGACCTTTCTCTCTTTCTCTCCATCTCTCAGTAACTCTCACTCTCAGATAAGTAAATAAAATCTTAGAAATAAATAAATATATTCTAAAAAACTAGTAAAAGACAAGTTTGCTTTTTAATGTTTCCATAAGAATTAAACATTTAACCATAAGTGTTACATAAGGTAAATGAAGATTAGAAACTGCTGTCAAGGCCATCATAGTTGGTTAAGCTGCCATCTGCAAAGCCAGTATCCCATATGGACACCAGTTCAAGTCCCTGCTGCTCCACTTTACATCCAGCTCTTTGCTAATGTGCCTGGGAAAGCAACTGAAGATGACCCAAGTGCTTGGCCCCTGCTATCTACGTGGGAGTCCTGTATGTTCCAAACTCCCAGGCTGGCACAGCCTCAGCTGTTGTGGGCATTTGGGGGAATGAACCAGACTCTACCTTTCAAATAAACAAAATAAATCTTTAAAAAAAAAAAAAAAACTATAGTGCAGTGGCTTCAGCCTCTGCCTGAGATGCCAGTATCAGATATGAGCACCAGTTGGTGTCCTGGCAGCTCCACTTTCAATCCATTTCCCTGCTAATGGGCCTGGGAAGGCAGCAGAAAATGGTTCAAAAGTACTTGGGCCCCTGCCACCTACATGGGAGACCTGGATGAAGCTCCTGACTTATGGCTTTGGCCTGGCCCAGGCCATGGCATACATTACAATGATTTGGGGAGTGAATCAGAGAATGGAAGGTGTCTCTCTCCTCTTTAACTCTGCCTTTGAAATAAACAAATCTGAAAGAAAGAAAGAAAAGAGAGAGAGAGAGAGAGAGAGAGAGAGAGAGAGAGGAAGGAGGGGAGGGAGGGAGGGAATAAGCAGATGTCATCCTAGGCCCACGTTTTCAACCCTAGATCAATCTAAGGCTTTCTCCCATAGTTCCTCAGACCAATCACCTGAGCACAGGTAAATCTTCTGTAGCCTACTTCCAATTTCAAGAGAGCCATCCAGCTCAACAACCCAGAACCACTCAGAAAATTTAAGTATCCTGGATATTGCTCAAGAATGTACTTAAAGTAAGAGGGCAGTTTGCAGGCAATCTCTTCTCTAGGTATCCCACAATTTTCATCTCAAAACAAAACCACCAAAATGTAACCAATAGCCCCCAATATTTGGAAATCCTAAGACATTGCCATTAACTACACATACGCTATTTTCAGTCTGCAATTTCCTGCCTTCATCCCCCACACAAACACCTCAAAAATCCAGATATATCAAATTTTCTAGAAAACCCTCCATGATTACTTGAAGAGTAAGATCTGATAGAAAGAGGCATTCACTAGTGGTTTATATCAAGTTAAATTACTTAGGATGTCTAGGATCATATCTGAACTATTTTCCTTTACAATTCACTTTTTCTTTTCAGATTTATTTTATTTATTCAAAAGGCAGAGTTACAGGGAGGGAGGGAGGGAGAGATATGAAGATAGAGATCTTCCATCTGCTAGTTCACTCCCATAACGGCCGCAAAGGCCAGGGATGGACCAGGCAGAAGCCAGGAGCCAGGAGCTTCCTCCAGGTCTCCCATGTAGGTGCAGGGACTCAAGCACTTGGACCATCCTCCACTGCTTCCCCAGGCACATTACCAGGGAGTTAGATCAGAAGTGGCGCAATCAGGACTTGAATAGACGCCCTTAGGGGATGCCAGCATTGGCATCCTAGGCAGCGGCCTTATCCACAATGCCAGTGTTGCAAAAATAGTTTGTTTTTTTTTTTTTTTTTTTTTTTTTTTGACAGGCAGAGTGGACAGTGAGAGAGAGAGACAGAGAGAGAAAGGTCTTCCTTTGCCGTTGGTTCACCCTCCAATGGCCGCCGCTGCAGCCGGCGCACCGCGCTGATCCTGGCAGGAGCCAGGAGCCAGGTGCTTTTTTTTCCTGGTCTCCCATGGGGTGCAGGGCCCAAGCACCTGGGCCATCCTCCACTGCACTCCCTGGCCATAGCAGAGGGCTGGCCTGGAAGAGGGGCAACCGGGACAGAATCCGGCGCCCCAACCGGGACTAGAACCCGGTGTGCCGGCGCCGCAAGGTGGAGGATTAGCCTATTGAGCCACGGCGCCGGCCTGCAAAAATAGTTTTTAAAAAATATAGAACTTGGCCAGTGCCACGGCTCACTAGACTAATCCTCCACCTGCGGCGCCGGCACCCCAGGTTCTAGTCCCAGTTGGGGTGCCGGATTCTGTCCCAGTTGCTCCTCTTCCAGTCCAGCTCTCTGCTGTAGCCCGGGAAGACAGTGGAGGATGGCCCAAGTGCTTGGGTCCTGCACCCGCATGGGAGACCAGGAGGAAGCACCTGGCTCCTGGCTTCGGATCAGTGCAGCACTACAGCTGTAGTGGCCACTTGGAGGGTGAACCAACGGAAGGAAGACCTTTCTCTCTGTCTCTCTCTCTCTCTCACTCTGCCTGTCAAAAAATAAATAAATATATATATATACACACACACACATATATCTATAACTAGGCCAACCTTGTGAGTACCAGGTAGAGCCGCCTATGATGCCGCCATCCCTATGGGCGCAGTTCAAGTCCTGACTGCTCCACTTCTGATCCGGCTCCCTGCTAATACACCTGGGAAAGCAGCAGGGGATGGCCCAAGTGCTAGGGCCTCCAGCACCTACTTGGGAGACCTGGAAGAAGCTCCTGGCTTTGGCCTGGCTCAGCCCTGGTCGATGCAGCCATTTAGGGAGTGAACTAGCGGATAAAGTCCTCTCTGTCTCCCCCTTTCTCTCTAACTCTGCCTTTCAAATAAATCAATCTCAAACAAAACAAACAAAAACTAAATTGCCTTGAAAAGCTTAAGCAGTTTCGAAAAAAAAAATCAAACAAAATTGCAGTAGATGAAATTTCAACGCTGACTTTAACAGAATGTGATTTCAGGCTGTTTGGCTTTCTTAGCCTGTTTCCTAAATTTTTTTTTTTGAACAAATACAATGCAATTTATTACTTAGAAATGAGAACAAATTAACAATGATCAATATTTCAGAGGCTGAAAGATGTGACACTGACAGCACTGAGTACGCAGCCTTTATTTATTTTCTTCATATTCCGAGGTGTTTTTGGGTGAGTGTGTGTGTGTGTGTGTGTGTGTGTAAGTATATAAAGATGAGGAGTCAGTTTTGCAACCTACAAATATTTACTTATTAAAACTATATTAATACTTTAATAAACTATACAAAAAGATGAGACAAACATACGCATTTGTAGAACTGCATCTCAATCAGGCCAGATCCCTGTGGAGGGAATTCCCAGCCTGACATCATTCATCTGTGGGGACACAGAGCAATCCTGGTGCGGGCGCACACATGCTTCGCGTCGGCCAGCACGGTCGGCCCCAGTTCCAGATGGTTTCCTTCTGCTACGAATGTGCGCGCCCAGCTGTCTGCTCCTTAGAGCAGACGTTTACCTTCCTAAATTTTAAAAATTTTAAAAAAGGTGTCCACCATGTAATGCTTTTGCAAGAAACAAATAACAATGTAAAATGTCTAACACAGTTCCTAACACACAGGAGGCCCACAAAAATCAGTAATTATTTTTTACAGTCTGTTTCTTCAGTACAACTTGGCACTAGATTCATTTCTATGACTAGTTCTTGGTCTACCCCAGAGCTGTTCATTAGCCACATGTAACTGAACACTCACAACGTAATTAGTCCAAACTGATATACATATGTGCTTTAAGTGTAAAAAACAAACCATATTTCTAAGACTTAATGTAAAAAATAAAAAATCAGGGCCAGCACTGTGGCATGGTAGGCTAAGCATCTACCTGCAGTGCCAGCACTGTGGCATGGTAGGCTAAGCCTCTACCTGCAGTGCCAGCAACCCATATAGGTGCCAGTTCAGGTCCCAGCTACTCCTCTTCCTATCCAGCTCTGTTAATGGCCTGGGAAAGCAATGGAACATGGTCCAAGTGCTTGGGCCCCTGCACCCGTGTTGGAGACCAGGAGGAAGCTCCTGGCTCCTTGGCCTTGTATCAGCCCAGCTCCGGCCACTGCAGGCATTTGGGGAGTGAACAGGTGGACCTTTCTCTCCATAACTCTGCCTCTCAAATAAATAAACAAAATCTTTTTTTTTTAATTTTTTTTTGACAGGCAGAGTGGACAGTGAGAGAGAGAGACAGAGAGAAAGGTCTTCCTTTTCCATTGGTTCACCGCTCAATGGCCGTTGTGGCCAGCGTGCTGCGACCGGCGCACCGCGCTGATCTGAAGCCAGGAGCCAGGTACTTATCCTGGTCTCCCATGGGGTGCAGGGCCCAAGCACCTGGGCCATCCTCCACTGCACTCCCGGGCCACAGCAGAGAGCTGGCCTGGAAGAGGGGCAACCGGGACAGAATCCGGCTCCCCGACCGGGACTAGAACCCGGTGTGCCAGCGCCGCAGGCGGAGGATTACCCTAGTGAGCCGCAGCGCCGGCCACAAAATCTTTAAAACAATAAAAAAAATCGTATTAATATTCTGTATACTGAGTACGTGTGAAGTGGTGGTACTCTGAATATATGGTACGAAGTAAAATATAATTACTAAAATTAATTTCACCTGTTATGTTTGGCTGTCCTTGACTTCTAGCCGGTAAATACGCTCTCTTAACCAAGCCATGGTCTGCTTGACAAGTGTTCTGGCTAACCCATCCCTTACCCTGGCAGACACGGACTCACAACCCAAGAAAACTGGACATCTATCGTTCTTTAAGTCCAGAGCTCAAAGAACCGCCGAGGAAACTTCCTAACTGTTGACTACCCAGCATCAGAGATGTCTTGAGGAAAAAACCCAGAGTCTTCAGCCGCAGGTGTCAGTGAGCCTGAATAGAAAAGGGTCACCCTTAGGACGGTGAGAAGGGGCGACGAAGTGAGCACCCCAGATGTGAAGGAGCGTAACGTACAGCTAATGGAGTAGAGGCCTGAGGCAGAAAGCTTTTAGCGCTGGGTGCGGGTACGGGTGCGGGCTGAAGGGAAGGGTCTGGGCTCCGCGGCGCAAACTACACAAGGAAGCTCAGTACCTTAAGAATTCCCCTCATCTTCGCCAGAAACGGGCGAAATTCCTCGGGCTGCACCTCCGGATAGAGCTGGCTCCGCAGCAGCTCCTCTGTGATGCCCGGGTGCCCGTGGAACGCGTCCTGGGCCAAGCCGTTCAGTAACCCACTCAAGGGCTTGCAGCTCTCAAGCTCACCCGCCATGGTCGGCCGACGCCCCGCCCCCTAACAGCTGAGCGCAGTTTCCCCCAACGGCGGCCGAGGCGGGTCCAAATAGTGTGGGCAAAGGCTCGCAGGAAACGTGGCAGCGGGGTTCCTCCAGGGGTCAGTATTGGCAATTCCCAGCTTTGTTCTGCAAAACCCATCTTATTTGAGAGCCAGAACGGAAATGCTCATTCACTTACTTCCGCTGATTTGCTTCAGCACTCCAATGCCTACTGAAAGAGATGGCTTGGTGGGGAGCACTTAGCATTCCATAGGGGGCCAGTTTAACTTTGGGAGGCTGTATCTCATTCCAGGACTTGACAACCCATTAACTGAATAGATTCTACACTCAGATCTAATCTCTGTCTAACTCTTCCTTTGTAGACACTTTGTCCAAGAAAATGTAACCATCTCCTGACAACTTGGGTTGTTAATTGCCATTTTACAAACCCATGTCTTGACTTTTCAATTAGATCTGTGGCCTTGATCATGCTCCTTTCTGTAGCAAATATTTTGCTAAAGCTTTCTTTATTATCCTGAAAGGAAATACATGGATAACATGAGTATATAACTTCCTATAAAAAGGAATAAGGTACTAATACATACCATAACATGAATGAACTTTAAAACAATCTAAAGTGAGAAAAGCCAGACACAAAAGGCCAGACAGTAGACAATCCCATTAATATGAAATGTCCAGAATAGGCAAATACATAGAGACAGAAAATAAATTAATAGTTAGGGGGAGGGCCAGCATTGTGGCACAGAAGTTTAAACCACAGCTTGCAACACTGGCATCCCATATTGGAGTGCCACTTGGAGTTCCAGCTATACTGCTTCTGATCCAACTTCTTGCTAATGCACCTGGGAAGGAAGTTCCTGGCTCCTGGCTTCCTGCCCTTGGCTGTTGCAGCCATTTGGGGAGTGAATCAATAGACAGAAGATTTTCTCTCTGTGTCTCTCTCTTTCTCTCTCTCTCTCTCTCGTCTCTATCAATCTGTTTTGTGAATAAATACATACATAAATACATATTTTTTAAAAAATAATAATTTCCTAAAAGGCAATTTTAGAGATGTGTTCATGGCTCCAAAAAAAAAAAAGCAAGCTAGAGACAAACTATACACTGTGTTAAGTGTGCCTGCAAAAGTTGCAAAAAATGGTTTACTGGGGGAAAAAAGTAATGAAATGGTGACAGGTGGGAAAAAAAAAAAACAGCACTATTAAAAACACAGCTTCCAAATTACCCACCAGAAAGACTGTATCCATTTATTTCTATGAAACCCTACTATAACCTTATTATTACTATACCTTATTTTTACTTACCCCTTACTATAACTTGATTACTCTTTATAATCTTTGCCATTTATTATGTAAAAATATTATGTTTAATTTGCATTTCTTGAATTTCAGAGTGAATACTTTATTTATTTATTTATTTATTGGAAGCTTGTATTTCTTCCGATTTCTTTGTCCATTTCCCTACAGGGGTTTCTGACACTTCAATGATTTCTAAGAACTCCTTATATATTCAGAATATTAAAGCTTGTCACCTATATTTAAATATTTGTCTCGAGTTTATATAGTTGAATCTATCTACATGCATAGAAAGGTCTGGAAGATTATTCACCAACATTATAGTGTACATCACTCACTAAATAAGGGTGTTCCTTATTTTCTCTTTCTAATTCCCTGATTTATCTAAACGTTGCAATAAGACAGTTATTTAATTAGAGGCCAGCGCTGTGGCACAGCAGGTTAAGCCACTGTCTGCAGTGCTGGCATTCTATATGGGTGCTGGCTCCAGTCCGGGCTGCTCCACTTCAAACCCAGCTCCCTGATGATGCACCTGGGAAAGCATCAGAAGATGGCCCAAGTACTTGGGCCCCTGTACTCACATGGGAAATCTGGATGAAGCTCCTGACTTCTGGCTTCTGACTTCAACCTGGCCCACCTCCAGCTGTTGTGGCCATTTGGGGAGTGAACCAACAGATGGAAGATATCTCTGTAACTCTGCCTTTCAAATAAATAAATAAATCCTTTTTTAAAATAGGTATTTAATTAAATTATTAAATAAGTAATATGTCTTAAAGTAAAAAAATTTTTTTGAAGATTTATTTATTTGTTTGAAAGGTAGAGTTACAGAAAGGGAAAGGCAGAGAGAAAGAAGTCTTCCATCTGCTGGTTTGCTCCCCAAATGGCTGCAATGGCCAGAACTGGATCAGACCGAAGCCAAGAGTCAGGAGCTTCTTCCAGATCTCCCACGTGGGTGTAGGGGCCCAAGTACCTGGGCCATCTTCTACTGCTTTCCCAGGTGCATTAGCAAGGAGCTGGATCGGAAGTGAAGCAGCTAGGAATCGAACCAGTGCCCATATGGGATGCCAGCACTGCAGGCAGCAGCTTTACCTGCTACATCACACTGCTTGCCCCTAAGTTTTTTTGTTTTTTGTTTAATATTTATTTTATTTGAAGTGAGAAGAGACAAGAAATCTTCCATCTGCTGGTCCACTCCCCAAATGGCTGCACTGGCCATGGCCAGGCCAGGCAGAAGCAAGGAATCTATAGCTTCTTCCAGGTCTCCCTTGAAGGTGGCAGGGGCCTAAACACTCAGGCCTTCTTCTGCTGTTTTCCCAGGCACATTAGCTGGATCAGAAGTGGAGCAGCCTGGACTCAAACTGGCGCCCATATGAAATGCTGGCATTATAGGCAGTGGCTTTACCTGCTATGCCACAGCACTGGCCCCTATATTAAGTTTTAAAAAGAGAGATGCAATGTAAGCATCTCATATGGATGCTAGTTCATGTCCCAGCTGCTTCACTTCCAGTCCAGCTCCCTGTTAATATACCTGGGAGGCCGGCCCGCAGCTCAGTAGGTTAATCCTTTGCCTGCGGCACCAGCACACCAGGTTCTAGTCCCGGTCGGGGAGCCGGATTCTGTCCCGGTTGCCCCTCTTCCAGGCCAGCTCTCTGCTATGGCCCGGGAGTGCAGTGGAGAATGGCCCAAGTCCTTGGGCTCTGCACCCGCATGGGAGACCAGGAGAAGCACCTGGCTCCTAGCTTCAGATCAGCGCAATGCGCCAGCCGCAGTACGCTGGCCACGGCGGCCATTGGAGGGTGAACCAATGGCAAAAGGAAGACCTTTCTCTCTGTCTCTCTCTCTCTTACTGTCCACTCTGCCTTTCAAAAAAAAAAAAAAAAAAAAAAAGAATACACCTGGGAAAGCAGTGGAGGATGGCCCAAGCACTTGGGCCCTTGCTACTCACATGAGAGACCCAGAAGAAGCTCCTGGCTCCTGGATCATGGCTCCTGGCTCTAGGCTCCCACTTGTCCCAGCTCCAGCCGTCATGGCCATATGGGCAGTGAACCAGCAAAGATCTCTCTCCCTCCCTTTCTCTCTCCCTCTCTCCCTCTCTCCCTCTTTCCCTCTCTGTCTGTAACTGTGTCTTTCAAATAAATAAATAAATCTTTAAAGAGAGAGAGAGAGAGGTAATTGTGAAAAAATAACTAAACCATGAGGGGAGGCTAAAGGAAGATATTTTTTTTTTTGACAGGCAGAGTGGACAGTGAGAGAGAGAAACAGAGAGAAAGGTCTTCCTTTGCCGTTGATTCACCCTCCAATGGCCGCCGCGGCCGGCGCGCTGCGGCCGGCGCACCGCGCTGATCCGATGGCAGGAGTCAGGAGCCAGGTGCTTTCCTGGTCTCCCATGGGGTGCAGGGCCCAAGCACTTGGGCCATCCTCCACTGCACTCCCTGGCCACAGCAGAGAGCTGGCCTGGAAGAGGGGCAACCGGGACAGAATCCGGCGCCCCGACCGGGACTAGAACCCGGTGTGCCGGCGCCGCTAGGCGGAGGATTAGCCTAGTGAGCCGCAGCGCCGGCCAGATAATTATTTTTACAAGGTTTGTTTGTACAGAACTTTCTCAGACACACTTGCTACCCCTGTTACTTTTCTTCTGGTACACAGAGGACGGACACCTTCCATATGAGACTCTTAACCCCTGCTTTAAGGAAGAAAAAAGAGAAGGATCAGAGTACACTTGTTGCACCTGCTGATTTTTAAGTGTTTTAGCTTGAATTATTTTACCAAAGGATCATGTCCTATGTATCACCATACATAACCCTGCCTCCCTGAACCTACAGCAAGTTCCAGAATACCCGGGTGACCAATAAAAGAAATTCACTCTTGTGCCACTAGGGGCTGCTATTGCCAATGCTGCTGTTAAAAGTTGGTAGCAGCTGCATTTTTAGATTGCCTTTTTTTTTTTTTTACTTTTATTTAATGAATATAAATTTCCAAAGTACAGCTTATGGATTACAATGTCTTCCCCCCCCCCATATCTTCCCTCCCACCTAGATTGCCTTTCAAACAAGAAAAAAAGTACAAAGCTTTACTTTGCTAAATCTCAAAACACAACCTGTTTTGTAGATAACAAACGTGGGTACAGATCTATTAAAAGAATTGTTTAAGGCAAGGCAATAACAAAACAAAGACCCTGAAACCTTGACTCAGAGGGAAAACTATAAATACCTAAATAGCAGCTCTCCTTATAAGGTTTCCTTCTCATGTAGCCAAATGGGTTTCCATTCTAAGTTCTATTAAATAACTGGTCCCAGGCAGGCAATAGGTATTTTTATAAGATCTTCTATCTCTGAAAACATTAAGATACTGAAATAGTATGCAAATACAAGGGTCCCAAAATTTTGCAGCACTCTCTGCTCCCATCTCTACTCTCCTGTTTGCAATTCTGCCTTTATTACCATTCATTCCACAGTCAACCAACACTAAACAGATATTAGCTCAGAGCTTTGTACCAGCCATTTTACTAGGCTCCAGGGGATACAGAAATAAATGGCAGTCTCTGCCTTAAAATCTTAAATTCTGGCAAAGGAAAATTATGTAAACAAATTATTAAAATACAGTGAAGGGCCAGCGCTGTGGTATAGCGGGTAAAGCTGCCACCTGCAATCCTGGCTGCTCCACTTCTGATCCAGCTCTCTGCTGTGGCCTGGGAAAGTAGAAGACAGCCCAAGTCCT